AGAAAAAATAGCTTAGGCCAGGTGCGGTGGCTCATGCCTGTAATCTTACCACTCTGGGAGGCCAAGGATTGCCTGAGCTCACAGGTTCAAGATCAGCCAGAGGATAAGTGAGACCCCATCTCTAAAAGTAGCTAGGCAATGTGGTGGGCACCTGTAGTCCCAGCTACTTGGGAGGCTGAGGCAAGAGAATGCTTGAGCCCAAGAGTTTGAGGTTGCTATGAGCTATGACATGACTCTACCCAGGGTAACAAAGTGAGACTCTGTCTCAAAAAAATAAATAAAAATTTTATTTTTTAGCAGAAAACTTTTTTTTGAGACAGAATCCCACTCCGCTACCCTGGATAGAGTGCTTTGACATCATCATAGCTCACAGCAACCTCAAATTCCTGGGCTCAAATGATTCTCTTGCTTCAACATCTTAGGTACCTGGGACTCTAGATGCTCTACCACCACACCAGTCTAGTTTTTCTATTTTTAGTAGAGAGATGGGATCTTGCTCTTGCTCAGGCTGGTCTTGAACTCCTGAGCTCAAACAATCCACCTGCTTTGGCCTCCCAGAGTGCTAGGATTGCAGGCGTGAGGTGAGCCACCATGCCTGGCCCCAAAACTTTTTATTCCAATGAAACTTTCCAGCTTAGTGCCCATAGCACAGTGGTTATGGCACCAGCCACATACACCAATGGTGGCAGGTTCGAACCTGGCCTGGGCCAGCTTAAACAACAATGACAAGTGCAACAAAAAATAGCCAGATGTTGTGGTAGGCGCCTGTAGTCCCAGCTACTTGGGAGGCTGAGGCAAAAGAATTACTTAAGCCCAAGAGTTTGAGGTTGCTGTAAGCTGTGACGCCATGGCACTCTACCAGGGACTCTGTCTCAAAACAAACAAACAAACAAACAAACAAAAAAACAAAAAATGGGTGGCGCCTGTGGCTCAAAGGAGTAGGCTCCAGGTCCTGTATACTGGAGGTGGGGGTTCAAACCCACCCCTGGCCAAAAACTGCAGAAAAAAGCTTCCCCAGAACCCCATCGTGTAAGAAACAGAGGGAAGTGAGGGAAGTGAGGTTGTTTAGGGGGAGGTCAGGATGGGGCAGGCTTGCCTGTTCCTGGGTCCCCTTTCGAATCCTGGGGGTAGAAGAGCTGCGCCACAACTACAGCTGGGCTAGGGAAGCTGGGGGGTCAGGGCTGTGCCAGGGAAATGAGACTAGACAAGAGAGGAGAAGAGGCAAGTGAAGGGGAATCTGGCTCAGGTCTCCTGTCCTTGGTGGGGGGCCGTAGCATAAAGACTACAGCCCAGGCACTTGGCTCCACCTTGGCCACCCTGCTTGTTGGTAGGTGCTTCCTTGCGGTGGAAGACAGAGGGTCAGGATTGCTCAGCAAACATGTACGGTGCACTCACCGGGGCTCAGCCTGGGCTGGGAAGGACAGAGACAAAACATAGCACAGCAATGTGGCTTGGTGGGTGTAGTGTGCAAGGGCAGCACAGGGTGCTAAGGGTGCCTGGGTGAGCTCTTAGAATCAAGTGAGCTGCAAAAAGGCTTCTTAGAGGCAGCAAATTCTTGGGCAGAGCTTGAAATGGTCACTAAGAATGAATCTGGCAAATGATCTGGGAAGAGTGTGCCATTTGAGGGCTTAGCATGGGTAAAATAGAGGTACACCACAGGGCAGGCTAAAGCAGTCAAACTCATGAAAGCAGAAATGGGAAAGTGGGGATGAGATGAAGCTAGGCCTTGAGTGCTGCACTGGGGTAACAAATTCTTCACTGACCACCAGAGAACCTAGCCCCACCCCTGCCCCTGTAGGTGCTGGTGGCTGGCATTGAGGCGAACATACCTGTGACCTATGTAATTGGCAGCCAGAGGGGAGATGAGAGCACTGGCTGTCAATTCATAGGTCAGAGCCCTGTGCACTCGGTCTTGGCAGCCCGCTGACAGCCTACCTCCACCCTTTGCCATCCTGGGCCTGGGAGTACCCTCAAGGAGATCCTTGCTGGTCTTCTGGGGGTTGGCTGCCTCTCCTCCTTCGTGGGTACTGGTCCCCACCCCAGATAACAGCAGCCCCACTGGAACCAGTGGGCACTTCCACATGGAGTTGCTGTTACAGGGGGTGGGAGCCAATTGAAAGCTTGGGCCCTGCCTACCCTGCATGTCTCTTGGGCCCCCTGGGTCCTCATGGCCCTGGGTCCAAGGTCTTTTTATTGAGGCTCCTTATCATCTGGGGCCCACACCTGGCACCCATGATGCCAGCACTTCTTCCTGGGTGAAGTCCAGGTTCAACCCCAAATCTGCCTCATAAAGCCAGGAGTGCCTCAGGTTTATGACTCCTGAGTAGCCTTTGCCCGATTTGACACTCCCACGCCCTCCATTCCCAAGTTCTTTTATTTCCTTGTTTCTTTCCCAACCAGACTGGGCTTCAGTTTTAGGTTTGGCCACTGTGGCCTCCACCCTCTGCCCTTTGCCCAGCCTCCCTCCTATAGCCATGGGACAGCAAAGGACAGCTGGGCATCTCTTAGTCTCTAGGGATTTGCAAATTCCCAGTTTCATGAGGATGGCCCCATACAGAAAGCTGGAAACAGGACTGAGAGAGGGAGTACAGACGGAGGGGCTGAGGGAGAAAAAGATGAGACAAGCAGGCAGAGAGCAGGAAGGGAACAGAGAAAATGGCCACAGAGAATGGCAAGGTGAAGAAAAAGGGACAGCAGGGAACTTGCAAAGATGCTGATACACAAACCTGCTGGCAGCACATTAAAAGCAGCACAAGCAGCCACCTGTCTGGAGGAATATTTAGTACCTCAGTGGCTCAAAAGCCAGTAGGGGCCTGGAATCAGGGTGACCTTGAGCCAGTAGCTTAGCTTCTCTGAATCATTGTAGGTTCCTCATATGCGAATCAGGACTTGTGAGGCTGTCCTGCCCACTGGCCTGGACTGGTGGGAGCTGCCTGCCCACTCTTAGACCCTGGGGTCTGTCTCCACTGTGGGGAAAGGCAGGAGCTGCTGAGTGGGATCCCTCAGAAGGCCCAGGGCTCCAGGGAGCAGACCTTTCTCCTGTAAAGTATGTTCTCATCCCCTCCCAGATAGGGTTCAATAACAAGTGCCAGTGTCCATCCAGCAGAGACCCAATAGCATTTTGAGAGACTCCAAAGCTTCTGGAGAAAAGAGAGCTTTTAGAATAAACCTGGGTGGTATTCCCTTTGCCAGTAGTGGAAACAGGCCTAGAAAGGCTGGGGAGGCTGCCTTGGTCACGAAGCAGGGCTCGGGTTCTGTGCTGACCTGACAACCTCCCTAAAGTGGTGTCCTCCCTCTTGAAATGCAGTCAAGACGCGTTTGAGCAACCCAGGCAGGAATCTTTCTGCTTCCAGGGATAGACTTGCAAAAGAAGACACCACAGCTGGTGACCACCCTCCACTCCTAGCCCACCCACCCCTCCCACAGAGGCCTGAGTAAGATCAGTCTCCTGCATTGTGGGGTCCAAGTGCCTGGCCTGGTAGAGGCAGCGTCCAATCAGGAATCCTGGTTCCACAAAGCAAGGCAGTTCAGAGAGCTAATTCTCCTCCAGCTGCCTCCCCCCCAAGTGGAAACTGAGGCACAGAGTAGGAAAGAACTTGCCCAGGATCACCCAGTGGCTGTTGAGACCCCTTCTCTCTTCCTCAGAAGGGCTGGTGACCTGCATAAAAGTACCTGGACCAGGAGCGTCCTGGGGCAGAGAGGCTGCAGGAGTCCTACCTCAGTGAAATCTCTTACCTGGGTGCCTGGCAGGCCCTTGGGGCACACGGAAGTGGGGACGCCCTCAGCCCAGCGCCTTTTGAGCTTGGCCCAGCCCCTGGTGGCAGTTAATGATTATCCTACCATAGTCAATACTGATCACAAGTGTGGTTCGAAGGGCAAGAAACCCTGGACTGTGCCCGGGAAAGGGTGGGGCAAGCCGAGGAAGCACCAGGCTGGGCCCCACCTGCCCCTCCTGGCAAAATCAGTCCCCAGTCCTTGGCATCTCCTTTGCTTGGCCTACTGCCCCAGGTGACTGTGTACAGCTAGGATCCTGGGTCCCCCAGGACAAAATTCCTGCCCTGTTCATGGTATCCAAATCTTCACTGCAGAGGAGTTAGAGGGGGAGGTCAGGGGGACTTCTGCCAGCATGAGAGATCTGCAGATGAACTTAGCAACGTAAGGGTTCCCTAACTGATTCCTAACCTGAGCCTGTTTCCCCATGGGCCCTCCACCCTTTGAGTGCCCCTGGGGAGCAATATAATGGGAGCAACTCCTTTCTTGCTCATAAGAAATAAGGTGTGTGGGGGCAATGGGCATCTCCCTAACCCCATGTAAAGTTCTGTGCAGTGCCAGTCAGGACCTTTCCAGCCATAGTGCTGTCCCAGCATCCCTCTCCTCCAAGGCTTTGAGCTGCACCTCAGGGCAGAGACCTAATCATCCCAAAAGGCTTCTGTTAGGGATGATAAGAGCAACCTCCAGAGTTCTCAGGGCTTAGCTTTCTAATGGTGGCCTCAGGTGATAGGTTAGGTTCTTGGTCAGGGACCACCAGAGGAACTGAGGCTCAGAGACCCAGGGTGTAGGCTCTGGTCCCAGTCAGGAGTCCCCCAGAGCCCTGCCATTTGTTTAGCCCCCCAAATAAGGCTGGACCCTGGGATCTTGGAGGGACAGAGCCAAGAAATATGGTCTGGCAAGGTGGGTGCCAACTCTCATTCCACTATCCCTGGCAGCCAAGCAGCTCTTGGCACACTGGAAGTGGGGACCAGGGCAGAAGCCTTCTGGGAGGGCAATGAGACAGAGTCCAGAGTGCCAAGGGAGGGAGAGCAGGGTGAGAGGCCATGGGGGTGGGGGGGACGGGTCTCTCCTTGTGCTGGACCTGGGGAGCAAGGGTAGGAGGTGTGGCGACCCCTGGTGGTGACACGGAGGTGTTGGATGCAAAGGTAGAATCTGGGCAGGAGCCAAGGTCCAGGCTGATGCTGGGGCTAACAGTGGCTGCACAGGTACATGGGACTTGAGAAAGGGGCTGGCGGTGGGTACAGTTTATTCCACTTCATGCAGATACTGACCCACACGCTCATGGAGCTTAAAAATAATACATCGAACCACATGGTGTCTGTCCCCTCACCCCCAAGACACAGAAAGACACTTGGCTAAGTGGGGTTGGGGTCCGAGGGTCCAAAAGCCTCCGTCCTGAGACAAGGCAGCAGTGTGGGCCCAGGTGGGAGGGAGAGGCAATGTCCTTTCTCCCCAGAGGAAAAGTGCAGAGATAGGGCCAAGGCCCCAAGGCAGGGAGGCCCCCCTCACAGCTGATTGGCAATGGGCAGGCTGGGAAGGTATCCGTCACGGTGGCCATCCCTTGAAGGGCCTGGGCCTGCCCTAGCTGTGAGTCAGAGCTCTTGGTAGGCTCAGGAGCTGGCGGCACTGACGAGCATAGCAGGTAGGCTAAGAGGATGGGTGGGAAGCACCCCTTTGAGTTCCAGATGCCCCACGCTCAGTCCTGGGCCTCCTCTGAGCGCCACTTGAGTGCATGGTCCTTGTGGGCATCAGGGAGGATCTGGTTGCGCATTCCCCCAAGCAGGTTGGACGTGGCTTCTGTGGCTAGGATGAGTGGCTTCACCACTGTTGGGGGCAGCTGGCGAATCACGCCCCCCACAGCACCTGTCAGCCCCTTCTGTTCATGGCCCCGAGATGCCACATCACAGATGGTCTGAGCTGTGTCCAGGATGCCCTATGGAGGTGAGAGGTCAGTGTAGGAGTCTGAGTGAGGAGATGGGTATGGGATGAGCAGGAGCAGGGTGGGGGGCTCATCACCTCTCGAACTGTGTCATATGCCTTGGCTACACCCTCCCGGAGGTCAGCAGGCTGCTGGCCCTTGCGCAGCTTTCTTGCAGAGCGCTTGTCCTGCAGGGAGCGGGAGACGGGTGCTGTTGGGGACAGGATGTCATACACCGTCTCAGCTGTGGCCTGAAGGACATAAGAACACTGACTGAGGAGAGCCAGCCTGGGTAGACATGTCTGGCTCCCAGGCTCCCCCAGCTGGCCTGGGCACCCTGCCAGCCCTTAGCCTCACCCACAGCCAGGGTGCAGCTTTGCTTACTGGGGCCACTTCTCCCTACCTCTTCCTCCCCTTCTTGGGCTCCCACCACCCAGATTAAGAAATTTCAGGCAGATCATCAGAGGACTTTTCCTCTGGTGAGAAAGTCCTGAGGGGACTTTCCTAATGTCTTCTCAACCCCAGACCCTCTTCCTGCTAATCACATCTAGACAGTTTCCTGTGGGCACCACAGACGCCCTGTGGAAGACTGGAGTTCCCCATCACCCATCACCATGGATCAGTAATGAGCCTGACCTTTCTGCTCTGGCTCCCCCGACCCTCTGCCCCAGCACCTCTGGCCCAGTGTCACTCTTTCTCACCTAATTGACACCCCTGGGTACTCCTGGATACTTATCTATCTCTCATGTTCTCTTGCCTCTTCTCTTGAGACACTACCCTTTTACCCCTGGGGTCTGAGGTTGCAGGTCCCAAAACACACTAGGCTCTCCTTATGTTGCCCACTTACTCCTACCACCAGGGTCTTCCTCCCCACCATAGAACTCATCTCACTGACTATATGGCTCTCAGGATTGTCTCCCTCATAGGCTGGCCCCCAGCTTCTCTGGGGATCCCTCTAGGCCTAGAAAAGTTCATGGCCTGAATGCACCAGGGCTGGTCTCTGGATCTCAGTGGATTAGTCTGTAAACACTGCCACATACACCCCCTTTCAAGATGTGCCATGAGCGGGGAGACATAGTGGGCTCTGCAGGCCTGGGGACTAATCACCCTCCTGCATGGGGGCCATTGTGGGCCTCAGGAGATCTAGTTATGGGCTCTCAGCAAGTCACTTAACTCCTCCTTTTTGTAATTGGAAGACACAAAATGAGGCTGCAAGACACAGACTGTCCACTCAGCAGAGCTTTGAGGACAGAATCAGGGTGCTGTGGGGCAGAAGCCTCTAGCCCCTTCCTGTGCCACATGGCCCAGAGATGGGGCACCTGCTCACCTGGATAGCCTGCACCAACCGGTTGCTAAGTTCCAGGGCAGCAGAGGCCGTGGATGAGCCAAAGGAGGCAGCCCCTCGCTGCAGCCCCCGCATGAGGCGCCCGTCCTTCCGGTACTGCTCGATGGGCAGCCACAGTAGGTCCCGGAACCCTTGGACTGGGAGGGATGGAGTTGTCAGACATGCAAGGCTGCCCTGTCCTCACCTGCCCTGCTTGAGGACCTCCCCTCCTATTCCCATGGCAGTTTCTAGGCTGCCCATGGGTAAGGGCAGTTTCAAGAGCCTCTGAACCCAGACACTCACAGAGCTGGACTACCGAGTGCATGGGGCCCACACCCCCCAGCAGGCCGGGTAGCTGGTTCTTGCGGATATCTTGTAGCCACTCATTGAGAGCATAGCCGAGCACTTTGTCCACACCTAGGAGCCTGGGGCAATGTGGGGGTGGGAGGGGAGAGGTGATAAGGAGGAAGGTGGGAAGAACCACACGTTGAGAGAACTTGGGACCAGGAAGAGCAAATACCCCTGTGGCAAGTGCTGTGAACACCCAACCTTCTCTGTAATCCCACCCAGCCAAGAGCACAGTGTGTCCATGTTACAGAGAACCTAAGGCCCAGAGACCGAGAGGGGTGATGACTTGGCAAAGCCACACACCCTGTCAGAAACAGAACAAAAGGTAGAGAGATAGGGGACCCTGGAGAGGATGGGGTGCTGGGGGCTCACCCATGCCGACAACAGAGCCGCTTTAGCTTCAGCTCAGAGCAATTGAGTTGGGCCAGGCCAATGAGGAGGCCAGCAAACGTGCCCTGGGGAGGAAAGGGGTCCAGTTTACATCATGGGGACTCAGGGAACGGCTAGCTCATAGAAACCACTGGAGATAACCTGGTAGCTGATGGTACCCAAAGATGAGAACTGGCCTCCCCTCAGTCCCCGAGAGACCCTGCCAGAGCTGAGCTGAACTGGGACCCCACAGACAGTCTGGCTTACATGGCCACTCTGCTTGACACCCCAACTCACCACCTGGTCCATGGTGACGTGCTTGCCGTGGTAGTCCAGCCAGATGGGCACTTCAGACGTGAAGCGGAACTCCCTGGGTGGAGGAACAGGGAGAAGGGGGCTTTGGGAACTGACCTGGCCTCTGCAAAGTGGCCCAGGGGCCAGGGCCCACAGCCTGTAGCCCACAGCCCTACCTGAAGTAGATGGGCTGCTGATCAGCACAGGAGGAGCTGCGTCCACTGCCTGTAGCTTCCTGCGGGACCTCAGGCTGCCCTTCTTGCAGGCTGCTGGGCTGGACTCGGGTCTCAGGGCGAGCTAGAGGAGGGGAGGTCACAGAGTGGGGATGAAGCCAAAGACAGCTGGGAACCTGGGCTTCCCTGGGAGGGAGGAGGCCTGGACCCTCCCCTCCATGGCCCAGCCTCTCACCCTCAGCAGAGGTCTCCCCTGGGACCATGGGATTGATACCGGCTGCCAGGCTGGTGAAGAAGTCCTTGAGGAAGAAAAGGGCGTCCTGTAGGGGATAGTTTGGGGAATTGGTGAGACCCAGAGACCCCGAGACATGAAGGTCACCTTGGACTCTGCCCTCACCTGGCCCACTCACCTGGTCCACGTTGAGGCGCAGTGGCATCAGTGAGACACGGAGACAGCACTCGGGCCCACCCAGATTGGTGGTGGGGGCCACATGTAGAGCCTTGATGGTGAGCTGGGGACAGAGGACAAGTTCTGATGCTCACTGGGCCCCTATTCCTTGACAGTTCTCGGGCATCTTTGCCTTGCACAAGCTATTCCTTTAGCTGAGACCACCCCTACATCCACCCTCCTCCCAGGCTCACAAAGAATCAACTTGTTTGTATGAATGAAGATGTCTCCTCATGGCCCAGGGCCTGCACGTACCATGTTTGAGTGGGCACGCCGTGGCATCCGTTCACTCGTGTGCAGATACAGAAATTTGTTGATCTGGGAGGACGCAAGCCGGTCTCGGACCTCAAGCTCCTGCACAATGAACACCTGGCGGGACAGCGGCTGTTCCTCCAGCTCCTGGCCGGGGGCTGCAGGGCCTGTGGCTGGTTCTGCTGGGTACACCTCATGTTGGAAGCTAACCTGTGGGGTGGATGGAGGCTTAAGCAGAGTAGACAGGGCCCCAGTGGGAGGGAAGGGCTGGCCCTAGGCCCCTTCTCTCCCCTGATCCTTCCTGATTCCACTTCCACCTCAGCCCTACACTTCCACATGGCCATCCCACAGAACTTGTGACCTCCTCTAAATATACCCACCCCCTTCCTTGGAGTCCTCACCACTTGGCACCTGCCTGCCCTGTCACCTGAAGCACAGACGTTGGCTCTACCCTCATCCTCCAACCCCTCCATCACCAAGTCCTCCTCAAACATCTTGACTCCCTCTGTACGTCTTTCATTTCCACAGCTGCCATCTCCTCTCCTCCCTGGACAGTCCCCCCACCCCTCCAACACATTCTTCACACATCCACAGGGACTTTCACGAAGCCTACACTCACTCCTCACCTTGGCCTGGCAAGGACCTGCTCTTGCTGGAGGTGCCTGCAGTACCAGCCTCTCTGTCCCTTGAATAGTGCAGGCCTGTCTCATCTCCCAGACTTTGCCCTTCTACTCCCTTTTGTCCCACACAGCTGCTGGCTCCCATCAGGTCTCAGAGGCCTGGCCACTGCTCTGAAGTTCATCTCCCCTTAATTCTCTCCCAGCACAACCCACTGCTTCTGTTGTCAGCCTCCTCTAGTTCCTCAGGAAGCCCTGCATCAGCCTATGCCACTCCCAATAAGTGGGACCTTCCCCTGCACAATTTTTCAGGCAATTCTCAGAGACCTCTCAGACCCCTTTCCGTACTTCACACACATCCAATCCAGAGCCAAACCTGTGGTCTTCCCACCATCCACTCCCGAGAACCTGCCCACTTTCACCAGTCCTGCTTGAGCACGTCATCTCACACTGGCTGCTACAGGGCCCCCTAACCCAAGGTAATCTGTCCTCAAAGGCTCAGAGGACAGATTACCTTGGGTTAGGGGTCTTATTAGGACCCCTAATAAGAACTGGGGTCGCTGGCGTGGTGCTCGTAACTCAGGTTAGGGAGCTGGTCATATACACCGAGGCTGGTGGGTTTGAACCCAGCCTGGGCTTGCTAAATGACAACTACAAAAAAAAAAAAAAAGCTGGGTATTACGGCAGGTGCCTGTAGTCCCAGCTACTTGGGAGGCCAAAGCAAGAGAATCGCTTAAGCCAAGAGTTTGAGGTTGCAGTGAGCTGTGATACCCTGGCACACTAGGCACTCTACCAAGGGTGACATAGTGAGACTCTGCCTCAAAAAAAAAAAAAGGAAAAAAGAACTGAGGTCTCTAACTGCACCAGGCCTTCAGCTACTCCCAGAAGACATCAGGATACTCCAGCTTGCAGCTTCCTGCTGTCCCCGTCTAAAAACCTCTTTCCCATTCATGTCCTCACTTATTTAAGTCTTTGTTCAAATGGCACCTTTTCAAGGGGACTGTCCAAACCCTCCCAGCACACCTGTGGCACTCCCCCGTTGACTCCCCCCTGAACACTTATCATCTGACACACTGGCTAGAGCTTGGTTTTTGCTTTACTCCCTCCACTGCAAAGGCAGGAGTTTCTTCTGCTTTGTTCATTGCTACATGCAGCATCTAGAACATCGTCTGCCATGTGTTAAGACAAACATGGTACGCGGAGTGACAGAGTCCCTGCATTCCCACGCTCACCTTGCTGAGCTGGATCTCCATGAGGGTGTGGTGCTGTCGCCCACTGCCTCCCTGCATGCGCCAGGAGTTCTGGGGCCGGTTGGGGCCAGAGCAGCGGGAAGGGGAGCTCCTGTGGCCTGTGAGGCCAACTCTTGCCCTGGAAACACATGGGACAGGCTGACTCAGAAGAAACCCTTCTCTTTCTCCTTCCTCAGAACAAGTCTTTAAGCAGGGCAAGGAGAGCCTTTGGGTCTTAGTCCAGGGAGTTGGCGGGGCAAGAAAGGATGAAGGAACTGAGGCCCATGACGGGTAGTGGGACTCAAGATTATCAGCTGCTGAAAGTCAGAGCTGGACCAAGCCTGGGGCCCCATCCCCACCTGTTGCCACCTGCACCCTTCCTTCCTCACCTGTGGCCAGGGTGGGGGCCAAAGTCTTGGCCTCCATAGAGGTGCCAGACGAGAGAGACCTCACGCAGAACCACACGGCTGCTGGGCACTGGGAAGTGGGCGGGCGCCCGCAGCAGGTCGGTGCTGCCTAGCGGCCGTGAGAAGTGCCCATCCCGCACAATGATGGGGCCGGGATGCAGCTGTGTCACCACAGGCTCCCCATCTCGGGGCTGCCAGGAGGAAGCTTGGCTAAGACCTGTGGCACAGGTGCTTGCCAGGCACAGCTGCCCTGGACCCAGCTCTTATTTCTCCCGGTTTTCACATCTTCCCCTGCCTCTTCCTCCTCCATTGTTTTCATAAATGATGACCCCCTTGGGCTACCATCCCCAGAGCCTGTGTCTGACGGGTCTGTCCAGGAGGGGCCTGAGAGCCCCTTTTTCCTCTCAGCTTGTCGCCTGGGACCTTGGTGAGTTAGGATATTCCCACTGGCCCTTGTGGCCAAATGATTCTCCTCTGCCTCTTACTAACTGCCCTCTCCTCTTCTTCTATTTCCATGAAAGTCCCAGTTCTACTGCACAGGATCCCAGGCCTACTCTTCCTCTGGAAATCCACCCACTCCATCAAATCCCAGAGTCAGGAGGCCTGGACTCAGCGCCCCCTCCGAGTGATGGTTACTGTCTCCTGCCTGCTTTTCACCACAGGAGCTCTAGTGGCACCAGGCAACCACCACTAAGCATCCTGGCCCCACACGCCCCCAGCACGTACCGGGATGCCCAGGCCAGGAGCATCAAGGATGCAGAACTCGTCACTGTCCAGAGTGTCTCCATCCCCCTCCTCTTCCTTTTCATCTTCCTTAGATTCAGAGCAGGAACCTAATTTGCCAGTGGAGCCCCTGGCAGGGGATGAAGGGGGCTGGGTTCCACTCCGTTCACCTGGGAATAGGTAGACTGAGACAGGCGAGGCCTGAGGGAGGGGGCCACCTGTAGGAAAAAGAGAGGCCAGTTAGCAGAGATGCCCACTATGGGTGCCTGGTTGTTGTCAATTGTCCAAAGCACCTCTGACCCCACCTGAAGGCTGGGCCAGCTCCCGTAGGCTACGCTCAGTGTCTAAGAGGGCATCGGCCAGGTCCCGCTGGTTGATGAGGGCTGTCTCCACTGGGGGGCAGGAAGGCAGAGAGGCAGGGCTCTCAGAGAGCTGGGTCAGACAGAAGAAAAATGACCGATGAGTGACAGGCGCGGAGGATTCCCCGCTGACTCCTCCAACCCCAGACCTCTGAGGGCCATGGCAGGGGAGGGGGCCTGGCTGAGCTCTGGTAGCCTGTGTGGCCAGGCCTCACCTGTACCTTCTGGCCGGCGATCTCCGTGGGGCTGGGGGGCCGGGGTGGGGGGTTCAGGTCGCCCGCGCTCATTACGTACTGGAGCAGGTTGACCAGCTGAGCACAGGAGTCAGCACAGCTGTGCACGTGTACCACGTTGTTAGAGCAGCGCAGCTCAAACAGCGGCTGGCTCTGGTGGAGCAGGTGGGTGGTATCAGCACAGGCCCCACTGCCTAGTGGACCCCATCTGCTCTCCCTGGGAGGGCAGCACAGTTCTGTCCCCGCCACAGGTAGAACAGAGATAGGTCTTCCGAGGGGCGGTCAGCCTGCTCGGTAACCCTGTTGTACAGCTAAGCAAACAGCCCAGAGAGTGAAAGGGGATTGGCCCAGGGCCACTCAAGGAAGCAAGGGCATACTGCTCCCCCATGCCCAGTTTCCTTTGCCCCTGACCTCAGCCCAGTGGGGCAGGGTCTATTATCCCCATTCTACAGATGAGGAAACTGGGGACCCACAAAGGCTATCTGACTCTTCTGAACCTGCTTTTGCCCTGGCTGCAACTGTCCTCTGGTGGCAGTGCTAAAACCCATTCAATTCATTCTTTCTTTTATCAAACAAGGAACACCATGTGGGGCACTAACCACAGCCCAGAAAGGAAGGGCATGCACACACTGTGACCAGAGCCCAGGCCCAGGGAGCAGGCTCATGGGGGCGGGCAACCTCTGAACCTTCCCTTGACCCCTGCACCCTCACTGGCTCTGGGGACTCTGGGTGATAGCCACACTCACCAGTTTGCCCTCAGTGCTCCCTTTCCAAGTTTTGATCACAAGCTCCAAGAGGTCAACATCCAAGACACAGACATAATCTGAAGCAGAAGGCGGGGGAAGAGCTCCTATTGCCTCCTTCCACCCAACCCCTGCCCGGAGGGAAGGACAGGGTTAATCTGGGGGTAGCCCTCATTGTGTGGAAGCTGAGAACAGCTTTGGGTAGGGCTGGGGCCGTGGTTCCTCAGAAGGGAGGGAGCCCAGTCTGGACCCTGCTTACCTCGCCGCAGGTCCAGGGTCTCCACCTCACACTTATCGGACAGGTATAAGGCAGAGTCATCAAGGATGAACCTGGGGGGGAACAGGGCTGAGAAGGGCCCAGGAGCCACTGCAGGCTGCAGCTCCATAGAAACTGGGCAGGGGTGGGGCTCCTAGAGACAGGCAGAGGGGTGCCAAGCCCACAAGAAGTGGCACTGATAGGCCCCTTCCAGCCTCTCTGTTCTTGTCTGTACAATGAGAACAAGTCTGGTCTCCTTGTCACAGCCCCTGTGGTTCTCAAAGTACTTCCAGCTCTACCACCCTATCTGGGTCTCACCTCATTTGGGCCTCACAACAGTCCTGGGAGGGGATGTTCTTTTTTCCCCCTATAGCATTTGCTATTCTTTTTTTTAGACAGAGCCTCAAGCTATCCCCCTGGGTAGAGTGCCGTGGCATCACAGCTCACAGCAACCTCAAGTGATTCTGGGGCTCAAGTGATTCTCTTGCCTCAGCTTCCCAAGTAGCTGGGACTACTAGCACCTGCCACAATGCCCTGCTATTTTTTTCAGAGATGGGGTCTCAGTCTTGCTCTGGCTGGTCTCGAACTCCTAAGCTCAGGCAATCCACCTGCCTTGGTCTCCCAGAATGCTAGGATTACAGGCAAGGGCCACTGTACCTGGCCTTATTCTACCTCTCTCATTTTTACAGAGAAACTATTGGGTCTCACTCTATCATCTGGGCTAGAGTGCAGTGGCATCATCAGAGCTCACAGCAGGACCAGGCACGGTGGCTCATGCCTGTAATCCTAGCACTTTGGGAGGCCAAGGCAGGTAGATTGCCTGAGCTCATAGGTTTAAGACGAGCCTTAGCCAGAGCGAGATCTCATCTCTAAAAATAGAGTGAGATCTCATCTCTAAAAATAGCCAGGCATGGTGGGCACCTGTAGTCCCAGCTACTTGGGAGGCTGAGGCAAAAGGATCCCTTGAACCCAAAAGTTTGAGGTTGCTGTGAGCTATGAAGCCATGGCATTCTACTGAGGGTGACAAAGTGAGACTCTGTCTCAAAGTAAATAAATAAAAAATCAGAGCTCACAGCTCAAACTCCTGGGTTCCAGCAATCCTCCTGCCTTAGCCTCCCAAGTAGCTGGGGCTACAGGCACCCACCCCCATGTCCCACCTCCTCAGGGCCAAAGGAGCACAATAAATCCTTCCCTGTCTGCCTCTCGGGGATGAAGTTCTGCTCACTCTGACCCCTAGCAAGGCAGATTACAAAAATTTTTCTAATTTTTGTAGAGATGGTATCTTGCTTTCCTTCAGACTAGTCTCAAACCCCTGACCTCAAGCAATACTTGGCCTTCCAAAGTGTTAGCATTACAGGGGTGATCCACTGGACCTGGCCTACAAATGCTTAAGGGTCTGATTTATTTATTTATTTATTTATTTTTTTGAGACAGAGCATCAAGCTGCCACCCTGGGTAGAATGCCATGGCATCACAGCTCACAGCAACCTCCAACTCCTGGGCTCAAGCAATTCTCCTGCCTTTGCTTCCCAAGTAGCTGGGACTACAGATGCCTGCCACAACACCTGGCTATTTTTTGGTTTCAGCCGTCATTGTTGTTTGGTGGGTCCAGGCTGGATTTGAACCTGCCAGCTCAGGTGTATGTGACTGGCGCCTTAGCCGCTTGAGCCACACACGCTGAGCCTAAGGGTCTGATTTAGAGTATACAACTCCATCTAGGAAGGTAGAAACACATTCCTGAGAATGGCATCATCACGTGAAGAAAGGCTGAGAGATAGGCCCAAGGACACACAGCAGGTGGGCAACGCAGTTCGGCTGGGGGTGGTTGGACCAGGAACATGGGGGCAGCCTGCATACCTGAGCAAGAAGGTGGAGGTGTCCATGATGATGTTGCTGGAGAGGGTGAAGGTCTCTGCGGTGATGAGGACACGCACAGGGAGATAGAGTGGCCTAGGGGTCATATGTGGGTTGTGGCAGGCTCCTTATACCTGAGACCTGCCCCAGTCCCCAACCTCTAGCCCACCCAGGCTGGGTACCTGTAGTCCACCGCACAGGAAAACAGGTGTGTGTGCAGGATGGTTATGACCGTTGGAGGCAGGTAACCCAGCACAGGGTCATCTAACACGTCTAAGAACTCCAGCAGCTTCAGAGGCCAGAAAGGGAAGGGGGAGTGAGAATAAGGCAGCTTCTTCTCTCCTTTCACCCCTCCCTGCCCCTGCCCCCACTTGGCACCCCACCTGCTATCCATCAGTTGCCTGACACACCTCTTTCCCAGGAGTTCCAGGCAAGGTCAGCTCTGGCCTGGTTCACTCTCCTCCCACCTGCTCACCCAAACCAGAAGTCCAAAGTCACTGGGCCATGTGACTTCTCAGGCCACCCTTGCTCTCACCTGAGAGTGCCAGCTCTGTTCGGGCAGGGCCATGTAGTGGCGCAGGGTGGCTTTGTGTAGCCGCAGTGTCACCAGGAACTCCTGAGGGTGGGGGCACAGTCAGGGCAGTAGGGAGCCCAGCCCCACCATGCTAGGGAGGTGTTATCCAGCCAAGCAGGCAATGGCAAGCAGGGGTAGCTATACCTTTACGTTTTTCTGGGGATCCACATGGATGCGCACAGCAGTGGACAGCATGTGGGGGCCCTGGCCCTTACGGCCCGAGATTCCTCGCTCAGTTACCCCTTCCTCTGATGGGTAGATGGTTGGAGACAATTGGGCCGGGGGAGCAAAGCTAGGCAGTTCCAGATGACTGGGCAGCAGGTAGTTATCCACGGCCGCTGGAGAAGGATCTTGTGAGCCCCTTGCCAAGCCAACTGGCTACTCACTCCACCAGGACCCATGTCCTCCCTGAAAGCTGCCCACCCTGACCTTAGACACCCAGTAGCAACCAGCCTCCAGCCTCACACCTCGGTGATAGAGTGTTGCCTTTTCAGCTTCCAAGCAGAAGTAGCCAAGTCCTGGCTGGCCGCAGTACTGGGAGACACTGAAGATGGTGCCGTGCTCCACGTCCAGCACTAGCTCCCCATGAGCAGCCTCCAGCCGCCTCCCACCTTCATCCTGCAGATGGAGAGCATAGCTGGGCTTCAGCAGCTGCTCTCAGCCCTGGCCTAATGGGGTGAGTTCCAGCTTCTAGCACACTCTGCTCAGGGCCAAAGGAGCAGAATAAACCCTGCCCTGTCTGCCTCCTGGGGATGAAGCTTTGCCCACTCTGATGCCTAGGGTGGCAGATTACACACAGGAGGTGCTAATAAGTGGCTGGTGGGGAGTGAGGGGGTGGGTGGGCTGGCATGTGTGGATCGGTACAGCCCCCTAAGGCCTTCTGTTCTCCACATCCCCCACTTAGAGTTGCCTTCCGACCGATAGGGGCTCTGGAGGTAGGAGCTCACCTACCCAGGGCTGCTCTTACCTTGGTCTCACAGAGGACAGTGACCCGACCCTTCAGCACTGTCACCAGTGTAGAGAAGGTGCTCTTGGAGTGAGGCCTTAAGGGCTCAGCGGCAGGGGGGTGGGGGGTGCTTGATGACCCCACTGAGAAGAAGTGGGCATCCTCATCATCTGAATCTGAGTCTGGATGAGATCAAGGCAGCCAGGTGGGAAGGAGAGCTGGGAGGGATGGCCCAGCTCTGCCCAGATCTGGGATCTTCTTCCAGCCCAGCCAGAGCACCCCTCATACCCAGCTTGAAGGCTGACTTGCATATCTTAAAGTTGTCATGCCACAAGCCCGAGGGTCTGGAGAAGCTGGGGGGCTGAGCAGGGGACTCAGGGGTAGGAAGCAGGTCTGCAGGCTCCCACATGAGCAGGTCATTGTTGATCCTGAGATGGGCAGATGGATGATAGAGGTGAGGGAGCCCAGGGCCCAGCTGTTTGCCAGACCGCCCTGCCCTATGTCTCTACCTATTGTAGATGCTCTCGTAGACCTCCTTGCCGGGCAGAAAGACATGGGCACCAGGCAGGATCACTTCCAGACTACATTGGGACAGTGCCAGGGTTCGGCTCTGGAATGTCCTCATCTCCTCAGGGTCTCCAGGGATTACCATCTAGACAGGGTGAGGGTGAAGGAGAATCCCAGAATGTCATCTTAGAGATGCCAGGGCCTGTCTCTGGCTGCAGTCCTGATCTCCTATCACCCATTCCTTCATAGGAGCCCTTCTCTGCTGGGCACATGTGATGGCCCTCTGGGATACAGCACTGGTGCTAAGCCAGCCCTGTGCTAAGGGCTTATATCCTCTCAACAGGCCTATGAGACAGGTCATCGGGACCACTTTCCAGGGGAAGAAACTCATCTGTCGGTAATTCTTCAAGAGATTAGATAACTGGTAACTTCCCAAAGTGTTGTAACCACTGAGGGGGCAGAGCTTGGATCTGAACGTAGGCAGTTTGGCCCCAGAGGCCAGGCCCTTACTGCTTCTCCCTAAGCCCTCATCATCTTCAGAAGAGAATCCTGAAGCCCAGATATATACTGAAAAATGCCTAAAGTAGGACAGGGTCCCAATTTAAGCCAAGGACCTGTTCCCTCCCCTCCCCAGTGCATTTCACTGGCTTCCCTGTAAGGAGAGGGGGATGCCTCAGACTCCCTAATTGGCTGGAGACAATGAAAGTGAATCTCCTCTGTCTTGTACATGGAGGTGAATCACACCTAAGTGAGGTGGCTCATGTCTATAATCCCAGCACCCTGGGAGGCCAAGGTAAGTGGATTGCTTGACCTCAGGAGTTCGAGACCAGCCTGAATAAGAGCAAGATCCCATCTCTACTAAAAATTGAAAAATTAGCCAGGCATGGTGGTGGGCACCTGTAGTCCCAGCTACTTGGGAGGCTGAGGCAAGAGGATTGTTCGAACCCAGGAGCTTGAGGTTGTTATGAGCTATGATGATGCCACAGCATTCTACCCAGGTGTCAGAATGAGACTTTGTCTCCAAAAAAAAAAAAAAGGAGAGACAAAATCCTCACTAGTGTTGAATCACATCATGCCCATCCCAGGTGGTTTTGTCATCCTGGCCCACAGCCACATAGGTAGCTCCCACTGTAGAACCTGGGGGATGGGAGGGAATCCTGGAAAGAGGTAGGACCAGGCCTCACCTCCTCTGTCTCGTACATGGTCCTCTTGGAGGAAAAGGGTGAGGGCTCAGGCTCCCGAAGCTCACATGGACTCTCAGCCGACAGTTCCAGGTCCTCTCCCTTCTCTGGAGCCACCTCCCACTGTGCAGTGCTGGACTGGGGGTTCAGGGTCACCACTACCCTGCCGGAACATAGGCCTGTCACTGGCCTGTAAGGCCCCCAAAACCTGGTCCCAAGCCAGCCCCCTGCCACCCCTAACAACAGAAACCTCCTCTTTTGAGGCCCCTTCCAGAACCCTGACTTACTGGGGCAGAAAGTACTTGCGCCCAGTGCTTTTGGGGTCCAGGACTTTGGAGACACGCAGACAAGGGACAGGTGGCTTCTCTCCATCTTCATAGATACCTGGAGGGTATTGGGAGGAGAGGAGAACTGCCACTGCTGCCTCTTCCTATTTCTTCCCTAATGCCCAGGTTGTCAGAACTGTACCCCACTAACCCCACATACACCAATGGTCTGAGGTAGCCAGGGATAAAGGGTCCATTCTGACCATTGCCTAGAAGGCCAGGAACAGGCAATGCTGGTGCACTGGAGAGCTGATAAGGGCCTGGGCCAGGGGCTGCTCCAACCGGGGACTCTGCCCCTTCTGAAGTCCTGAGCTCAGCTCTCCCAAAGGCCCCAGCCTCCTGCCTCAGGTTATGACCTAAGGGGTTCTTACCATGAAGGTCGGAGCAGGTGAGTTCCAGGCGGGTGGGGGATAGGGATCCAGGTCCACTGCTAAGCTCTGACCGGAACTGGGGCTCACTCAGTTCTAGTCGAAGCTGCTCAGAACGCACAGCCTGGCCTGCCCAGGGGTCCCGCTCAGGCCGCAGGTCAGCAATGGGGAAGCGCAGCCTCAGTGTGGCCCGGGGAGCTGAGAGCCGGAACACTGTCTGCTGCTCAGCTATTAGAGGGGGCTCTGTCTGTGGGAGGGTGGATGGAGGGCAGTCAGAGCTGCTGCCAGGGCCCTTCCCACTGTGGCCAAAAACTGAAGGCCCTGCTCTCCACCCCCACCTGGCCTGGCTAGGCATCTCACCAGCAGGCTGGCAGTTGACTCGGGGGGCATGGTGGCCAGGTGCAGCAGGGCAGCAAGTCGGTTCAGTGCCCCCAGCTCCACATCTGCTTGGAAGTCGGCCAGGTCCAGAACCAGTTCTGAGTGGCAATGGCAGGCAACTGAGCGCCGGGGTCGGCTCTGAGGGTAAGGGTGTTCAATATCAGTAGTGGCTGTGGGTGAGGGCGGGATAAGGCCTCCTTGGGCAGAATCCCATGAGGAGACTGGGGAGATCTTTACCATCTTGCTTGGCACAGACCACATGCTTGTTTATTTAATAAAAGGCACTCAATACTTGCCACTCTTAGGTTCCCAGAGGCCCAGCAAGGAGTTGCCATGTTGAGACAGGATAAGGGAACAAATGGGCTAAGAGAGTGACATGGATAGGACACAGAGGTGGGGACTCAGAGGCCTCTGCCTGGTGAGGTATGGTCTAGTTGGAGCACAGAGTAAGGGAAACGGTGGGTGAGGAGGAACAGGGAGACACTGGTGGAGGCCAGAATGGGATCAACACACCACAGGAAGCAACCAATAGCCTCTAGACCTGGAGTGGGGGGTGGGTTACCTTGGGCACACGGCGCAGGGTCTGTGTGTGGCGCAGGTGAGCACAGGGCCGAGCTGAGGCCTGGGAGCCCAGGTTACTGGGGAAGCTTAGGATCTGAGATAAGGCATGAGAGGTGAACAGGGTCAGGCAAATCTCCCCATGCCTACCCAAACCTCCAGACCATGCCTTGCATATACTCCCTCTGCCCTCACCTCTGTGTACTCAGGCTCCAAAGAGCCCCTGGGCCACAGACACTCCAGCACCTCAAGCTGCCCAAAGTGCACTTCTGTGCTGGTTGTCCAACGGCTCCTGCCGCTTGTCCGCAGTTCCCAGGACAGCTGCACAGCAGTGCCTGTTAGCCTGGGGAAAAGACAGGCATCAGAGGGTAGCCCCTTGGGGGGCTCTGATATTCTCTCCTCAGGACCCTGCCTCAGACTTATACCGGAGATGGCTACAGGGACAGGCCCTCTGGAAGCACGGTCGAAGGTGGTGGAAGTCTCTGGAGCCAAAAGGCCCATCCTTGGTGGCATCAAACTCAGCAAAAAAGTGAGTGGCGAGGTCAGGTGGTCCAGAAGATGGGGCAGACGTCTGAAGCAAGGTCAGGGTCACACCCCCCAAGGTCATCTTCAGTAGCGAGTCAGGGCGCATGGTGTCCGGGAGGGGTGTGGGGGCCATCTTGCCTGAGGGGATAGAGGCTTCACCATGGGCTCCTGAGAGCTCATGAGGACCCTTGGTTGAATGACAAGTAACCATTGGGCTGGGAACTGGGAGAAACCTGGGCCAGCCAGATATGGGAGGCCAAGACTGCCCTATTATGCTGCTCTGGGGGGGTGCTTTGTCAGGCAAAGGCCACAGAGTACCTTTATTCCAGAACCTCCACCCGGGTTCAATTTAATCTCTGAAGGGTGCTGGGAGGATTGGGTGTGATAAAGCCCCACTTAGTGCCTGACCCACAATTAGCTCTCTACACTCATTGAGCAAAACATTAAGGCCTTGGGTGGCACCTGTGGCTCAAAGGAGTAGGGCGTGGCCCCCTATGCCAGAGGTGGCAGGTTCAAACCCAGCCCTGGCCAAAAACTGCAAAAAACAAACAACAAACAAAAAACACAAGGCCGAGTAAAGTCCAACCTTACTGTCTCATTTTTATAGAAGGGGAAACTAAGTGCTTAGCTAAGATCACTGACCTAGACACCTAGGCTCTGTCCATTGCATCACTGGCTTACACTGAGTTTGGTCCCCAGGGAACCAAGTCATAGATAGTGGACCCCCAAGCATCGCTGGGGGTCTCCTGCATGTATCTGATGTCCTACAGCACCAAGTGGTACTGTGGACAGGCAGTAGGGGATGGCAGACAACCAGCACAGAAGTACACTTTGGGCAGAAGTGTACCTCTTCTAGCCCTTCCTGCCCATGGAATATCGGTGCCCCAACTCACTAGCTGGGTGAGCCTGGGCAGAGAGCCGGCGGGAAGCCATGTCACTGTGCACAGAGGAGCCCAGGTCTACATCAGAGAGGGAGAGCTCGGAGACAGCAGAGGCCACACTGCTCGTGAGGCCAGCCATGGAGAAGAAGAGGTCTGTGAGTGAGGTGAGGCGTGTTAGGGACAGCTGGACTCAGCTGCCAGACTCTTGCACCCACACTAGCTGCCCCTCCAATCAGGGTCTGACCCCACACCCACCAGTGCTGTCCAGGTTGAGAAGGGGACTGGCAGGGGGCTCTGAGCTGAGGGGCTCAGCTACAGCCCCAGCCTGCAGCTGCTGGTTCAGGTCCTGCTCAATCAGCCATAGGTCTTCAGCACCTAGTGGGCGGCTCTTGTTCAGCTTGTCAGCCAGGCCTTCAGAGTCTACAAAGGATGACACTTCAGTCCAGGCTAGCCAGCTTTCCTTACCTACCAACCCCCTCTACCTCTCAGAGGCCTTACCTGTGAGGCTAATGGCACTGAGCAGTTCCTGAAGCTTCTGGAGCTGCCGTGGAGTCAGGAGCAGGTGCAAGGAGCCCAGCTGTCCCACCACCTCCAACTGGGGGCCAAGAGGGCAGCCATGGAGACTACACTGATCCCCTAGCCTTTCTGAGAGCTACCACCCACTTGCCTTCACCCTGGGGAAGCAGGATGCCAGTTGCCAGGGTAAGCTGTCTTACAAGTAGCCCTATGAACCTGGCCACAGCTTGACCTCTCTGAACCTCAGTTTCTCTAGTTGCCAAGAAGGCAGCCATTTCCCCCACTTGACATGTCTCCTCTGACCTGGGGTAATTAGCATCACTAAGGAGGCATGAGATTAGGCACACTCCCTCTTCCCCAGGGGCCTGGGACCCACCTTGGGGCCCGGGAAGGCTTCATTCTGTTTCAACTTCACCATCAGCTCCATGTACCCTGAGCAACTGCCAATCTGCAAGGGTGGCTCTGAAGGTTTTTCCTGGAGGGGGGAGTTGAGAAGATGGAGTGAGGAATGGTCAGAAGGGATGGGTCAGAAGGCTCAAGGGATTAGAAGGAGAAAGAGCCTCTGGGAATCAGTCAGCCCACCTGTGGGGGGAGCTCCTCAAAGTGCAGGCGGACCCCTGTCAGCTGCAGCAGCTTATGCAGGAAGGCAGGTGGCTGATGCACATCCACTGGGGGCGCCTGGCTTGGGTCCCGCACTGCCTCATCACAGTACTCCAGTCTGGGGAGCATAAGGTCAGGCCTCGCCCTGCCACCCCGGTCCTGGAGGTCCTTTTTCCACACAGTGTTCTGCTCTAGGTGCTCAGGGTCAGGAGGGCTGGCCTACAGAGCTGCTTCATCATGCCCAGACCATCCTAGACCACCGCGTCCAGCTTGGTGGCTCAGGCCTATCCATGTTCCTTATGCTCTCAGCATCTAACCTGGTTCTTGGGACCCCATCCACTATGGGTCTATATCACCTGGCCTTTGACACAGCCTTCCTCCCCAACCCTACTACCATACCGGCCCACCTGGACCCACCCTGCCACTTCCTACGAGCCTAGGCTGGGAGTAGGGGCAGGGGCAGGGCTATCCAACAGCTCCCACTCCCCTTCCCCTCACCAGCCCATTCCAGGCCAACCCAGCCTACCCAGCCCATCCCTACCTCTGCACATGGACCTCCACAGCCACTCCATGTTCCCCATCACCCGGCAAGTGCTCTACTCTCACAACTGTGTCCAGAAAAGTCACCTTTATCCTCCGCAGCACTGTGGGGGGAGGAATGCCAGGTCACGTGAAGCAGCACGTGGGGAGGCAGAGTTTCTTATCTCAGTAGCTAAGTGGCTGTGCTGCTGTCTGAAGCCCCTGTCCTATGGGTCATGGAGGGGAAGGCCAGGAGGGGCCTGCTCACCAGTCTCGATGGTCTGGGCGAACATCTCCAGCCCCTCTAGAGGCTGTGGTGGCTCAGAGGTTTCGGGTAGCCTATCCCGCAGACACTCCTGGGCCAACTGCAGGCTTGTGGTCATACATGAGGCCCAGGTCTGTGAGTCAGCAGCCCCTGGACCTGCAGAAAGGAAGAGGGTCTCAAGGTAGGCAGGCTTAATCAGCTCCTGCTGGCCTGCCCCCTGCCTCACCCTCCCCTCACCTGGGCCCTGGCGAGGCTGTAAGGTGAGCTGGAGGCCTGACACATGCACAGTGCAGTGGTCGGTGAGCAGCGCCGCCCAGGGCACAGCCACCTCGATGGAGCCCACGAAGCCTTCCACTAACTCCAGAGGCGACTCCATTGACTCCAGTACCTCATTCACAGACTGAAAGCAAGCAGGAGAAAAAAGCAGCTCAGGGGACCCCCAAATCCAGCTGGCTGCCACAGCCTAGTCCAGCCACTCTGCCCTGGAGAGAATTCTTGAATTTCCCTGTCCCTTGTTATTTCACACGCTGCCTATAGGCTTCTACCTTTGCTCGATTTTTTTTTTTTGAGACAGAGTCTCACTCTGTTGCCCTCAGTAGAGTGCCATGGTGTTGCTCACAGCAACCTCCAGCTCTTGGGCTTAGGCG